AGGCTTCCCGCCGAGCAGGGAGCCCGATGTGGGACTCGATCCCAGGACCCTGGGATCATGACCTGAGCCGAAGGCAGACGCTTAACGACAGAGCCACCCAGGCGCCCCTAGATAAATGAAATCTTGAAAAAAAAAAAAAAGAGGATTAAACACCATGACCAAGTGGAGTGTATTCCTGGAATGCAAGGTTGGTTCAACATATGAAACTCAAACAATGGAATACACCATACTAACAGAATGAAGGGAGAACACCCCATGATCATCTCAACTGATACAGAAAAAGCATCTGACAAAATTCAACACCCTTTCTTGATAAAACCATTCAACAGACTAGACACAGAAAGAAACTATAAGATACCACTTCACGCTCATTATGATGGCTACTATTAAAAAGAAACAACAGAAAATATTAAGTGTTGACAAGAATGTGGAGAAACTGGAACCCTTGCACACTGTTGGTGAGAATATAAAATGGTACAGTCACTGTAGAAAACAGTGTAACAGTCCTCAAAAAATTAAAAATAGAGGGTGCCTGGGTGGCTCAGTCGGTGAAGCGTCTGCCTCCAGCTCAGGTCATGATCCCAGGGTCCTGGGATGGAGTCCTGCATTGGCTCTCCTGCTTCTCCCTCTGCCCCCTGCTCTTGCTCTCTAACTCAAATAAATAAATAAAATCTTTAAAAAAAATTAAAAATAGAATTACCATATGACCCAGAAATTCCACTTCTAAGTATATACTGAAAAGAACTGAAGACAGAGTCTCCAAGAGGTATTTGTATATCCATGATCATAGCAGCATTATTCACAATAGCTAAAACATGGAAACCCAAGTGTCTGTCAACAGATGAATGGATAAGCAAAATGTGGCAGGCACAGACAACAGATTATTTAGACTAAAAATAGGAAAGAAATTCTGATACCCGCTACCACCCAGATGAACCTTAAGGACATCATGCTACATGAAATAAAGCCAGTCACGAAAAGACAAATGCTGTGTGATTCCACTTCTATGAGGTCCTTGGAGTAGACAAAATCATAGAGACAGAAAGTAGTACTGTGGTTGCCAGGGGCTGGGGCAGGGGACACAATGAGGGATTACTGTTTAATGAGTATAGAGTTTCAGCTCTACAGGGTGAAAGAAGTTCTGATGGGATTGCATCACATTATAATGTATTTAATACCACCAAACAGTACACCTAAAAATGGCTAAGATGGTAAATTTTATGTTATGTGTATTTGACCAGGATAAAAAAAAGAAAACAGAAATGAAATATTGATACACAGTACAACATGGATGAACCCTGAAAACACTATGCTAAGGGAAAGAAGCCAGAGTCAAAAGACCACGTATTATAAGATTCCATTTATATGAGATGTCCAGGCTGGCAAATGTATAGGTATAGTCAGGAAGACCGGTCATTGCTTAGGGCTGGGGGTGCTGGGAAGGGGCCTCTTTCACAACACTGAGGGAGAGGCAAATGATACAACCTCCATGGAGGGCTATTTGGTGATAAATTCTCGAAAATTTATGTGTTCATTTACCTCTGACCCAGCGGTGCAGCTTCTAGGAATCTATCCCAAAGATGCACTGGCAAAAATATGAGCTGCCTTATGCACAAAGTAGCCTCTACAGCATATTTATATCAGCAAAATACTGGAAATACCGTTAAGTGTCCACCAGCAGGGACTGGTTAAACAAACTGCGATCTCACACCTTGGAACATTCCGCATCCACAAAAGTAAAGAAGGAAGGTCTGTATATATATACATATGAAGTGATCTCCAGGACAAATTGTGTAAGACAGGGATGGGGGAAAGCAAATATATCTGTCACTGATCTTTTCGAAAGGAAACACCGGAAGTATAAACAAGACACTAATAAAAATGGTTATCTATAGGGACAAGGAGGGGACAAGAATGGAAATAAGACTTCCCTCAATGTATCCTGTTAAACCATTTTGACTTTGCAAACGTAACATGCCGTACATATTCAAAACGTTCAATGAAAAGGTAAAAAGAACCATTTCTAAACATCTAAAAATAGGGGTGCCTGGGTGGCTCAGTCATTAAGCGTCTGCCTTTGGCTCAGGTCATGATCCCGGGGTCCTGAGATCAAGCCCCATGTAAGGCTCTCTGCTCAGCGGGGAGTATGCTTCTCCCTCTCCCTCTGCCCCTACCCCTACTCGTGGTTTCTCTCTCTCTCAAATAAATACATAAAATCTTTTAAAAATAAATAATAAAATAAAAAATCTAAAAATAAATAGAAATAAATGAACTTAACTGTGTATCAAGTTGGTGACATAACCCCATAGAGAAAATAATTATTTCAAGTGACTTAAAAGGCATTACTTTGTCTATAAGTCCTGAATGGAATGCGTTCGGAGGACAAAAAGAACTGCAGGGCGCCTGGGTGGCTCACTTGGTTAAGCGACTGCCTTCGGCTCAGGTCATGATCCTGGAGTCCCTGGATCGAGTCCCACATCGGGCTCCCTGCTCGGCAGGGAGTCTGCTTCTCCCTCTGACCCTAACCCCTCTCATGTGCTCCCTCTCACTCTCTCAAATAAATAAAATCTTAAAAAAAAAAAAAACTGCAAAAAATCTCAGCCTTCATTCAAAAGTCTAACTGTTTAAGATTTCCATGTAAAAAGAAAGTGATATTCAAGTATAAGAAAGAACATTAAATTTGAATGAGAAATATCACTATGAGCTCATGATTTTTTCCTTTTCAAAAACACATATTTTCTCAAAAAAAAACATATTTTCTGAAAAACCTAGAAGTAATGTCAAAAATTAGCAACTACTGGCACTCATATTGTGGTCTCCAAATACCATTTGTCACTGAAAGGAATCAAAACTCCTTGGAGAAATTTGCATTCTAGGTCTGGGGCAGGAAATACACTAGATGATTCTAGAACATTTTATGGTATCTGAAAGCCACTGAATTCACATCAAAGTGACCTAAGAGCCAACTTGAAAGGGCTCCCACGAGCTAGAGATGGGACAATTTAAGCACAAAAAATAATGGCTGCAAACGATTGGCATATATAAAATATTCAACAGTCTCTAAAGTCATTAAAAAGTAAAAAAAAAAAAAAGGAACACTATATCAAAAACTAATGATGTAATGTATGGTGATTAACATAACCTAATAAAATAAAATTAAAAAAAAAAAAAAAAGCCCAAGTATTGGTCACCTTTGAAGGCTCCTAAGGCAGTAACTCTTCACTCTGAAAACAGATGAAGGAAAAGAATTAAGCTTCTATCCTGCCTTTTCTGTACAGACTGTATTTCAGGGAAACTAAGAGTTGATTAGGGAAATTATTCTTTATAAAAGAATTTCAGCTATGCAGTGCATACGTATGACAGACTCTCACTATTTTGCAACCCCTAATGGAATAACAAATCTGGGCAACACTGGGCAATGACTACTGAGAAGGTGACGGGGAGCAGAACAGAAGGATCGAGCTCAGGATCAGCAGAAGGCAGGCGGACGGAGCCTCCGTGCCTCGTGCCGTGGCCTGGCAGGGAGTACACGGCACCACCTCTGAAGCCATGCTGCCCATAAGGTTGAAACTGGATCTAAAGAAGCCTCCTGAGCTACCAGTTTATAGGAAATGCAAGCAACAGAAGAACAATAAATGACACCAAATCCAGAATACAGGAAAGGATGGCATTTAAAAAGATAAATGACATTATGGGGCGCCTGGGTGGCTCAGTCGTTAAGCGTCTGCCTTCAGCTCAGGTCATGATCCCAGGGTCCTGGGATCGAGCCCGATGTCGGGCTCTTTGCTCAGCGGGGAGCCGGCTTCTCCCTCTGCCTGCCCCTCTCCCTGCTTGTGCTCGCTCGCTCTCTGATATAAATAAATAAAATCTTAAAAAAAAAAGATAAATGACGTTAGAATGTCAACAAAGAAATGATACTAAAGAGGGGGAGGTGAGGATGGTCCATCAACCAAGGAGCGGAGCAAGAGAATGTGGTAACGTGTGTATCCACAGAGGTCCTGACACAGGCCACAAGGTGGGTAAGCCTGGAGCGCGCGCTCAGTGAAAGAAGGCAGTCACTAAAGGTCCCACACAGTAGGACTCTATTTCCGTGAAATGCCCAGAAGAGGCAAATCTAAGACACAGAGAGGAGATGAGAAGTTGCCTAGGGCCGGGGAGCAGGGGGAAGGAAACAGGAAATTAACACCCACAAGTACAGATTTCTCTTTGGTGGGCGAGGAAAGTTCAGATTGTGGTGATGGTCACCAAACTGTGAAGAGAGTAAAAACAATGAGCTGTATACTCTAATCCAGGAATTGGCTGGTATGTTAACTCTATCACAATAAGGCTGTTAAATGCGGGACGGGGGGAAGCTTTCACGGGCTTTTTAACAGACTTTTTTTTTTTTTTTTAAAGATTTTATTTATTTATTTGAGAGAGAGAGCACATGAGAGGGGGGAGGGTCAGAGGGAGAAGCAGACCCCCTGCCGAGCAGGGAGCCCGATGCGGGACTCGATCCAGGGACTCCAGGATCATGACCTGAGCCGAAGGCAGTCGCTTAACCAACTGAGCCACCCAGGCGCCCTTTAACAGACTTTTTATAAATCGAATGCAACAGGTGGACGTCGGTGTCCCAGCATTAGGGGACCCAACACCTACAGAAAACAGTTTTGAGATAATCAGCGGGGAAAAGAGAACATGGACTCGGGATGAGGTATTAATCTGCTGGGTGTGACACTGGTATTTCGGTTACGTTCAGAGAAAAGGAAGAGACAGAGGAAGCCAACGTGGCGACTCCTGATCACTGCTCCACGTGTGCGACGGTCACTTGGAGGTTTGCTGGACTCTTCTCCCTACTTCCGTTTATTTTCTTAAATTTTATTTAAAAAAAAAAAAAAAAGCCTCCCAGATGACTCTGATGTGCTGTCAACTCCGGAACCACTGTCCCTTACCACACCAGCTCTGGGGACGAAGTCGGGGCCGCTCCTCCAAGAGGGCCGTTTCCACAAAGGGAAGCCAGTTCACGCCAGGCCTTAGAGCCGCGGGTTCACGTCAGGGAGCAGAGGTGGGAGAGGCAAGCAAGAGAGGCAGCAATATGCTGCTGTGAGCAGGGTCACCCGCTTACACAGCACTCGGCAAGTCCGCGCTTGACGTCCGCCGCGTCCCGGAGTCCGCACAACACCCAACCACACGATGCCGGTACCGCTGGCCCGTCACTCAGAAGCAGAAACCGTGCGGCTCTAAGACAAAAGCTCCTAGGCCCGCCTAGGACACAGTGGGCCCCACTTCGCGTTCAGGGCCTGTGCCCCTTCCTGGCCTCACAGCACGTCTGGAAAGCCCAGGAGAGCAGTGTGCCCCACTCATTCCCCGTCTCGCTCCCACTCACCAGGGCTTGGCCTCCTTGGGCGTGCCGCCTCCCTCTTACTTCCCTCCTCCTGGCCCCACGGGCCTTCAGGACAAGGCTCCTCTCCCCTCTCCATCCGGGTCAGGATGTCTGGTTTGGAGATGGCATAATCTGCATACAGAACGGAAGGGGAGCTGCGTCAAGACTGGACACCCGCCACCCAGCTGCCCACAGAGCTGGAGAGACATTAGAAGAACAGAAGTCAAAGCAAAGACACAGACTGCTGGAGGCCAATCTGCGGACACAGACCCAGATCCCCACCTACGCAGCCTTACCCAGGGACACCAGCGTCTCGTAGTTGCCCTGCATCACGTGCTTGTAGAGCTCCTTCTGCCAATTATCCAGCTTGCCCCACTCCGGCTCAGAGAAATACACGGCCACGTCATCAAAGGTCACGGGCACCTGGAACAGTGTCGCGCACGCTCACCCACACACTTACAGGCACAGTCCCTTGGGCTGTCCCACCCCAGGCGCCCGAGGGATACCTTGGGGACCTCCCCCTTGCTGCCCGGGGGCAGGCGCAGGATCCAGAAATTTCGGTTCCTCAGCAGGTTCTCCATGTTCTCCAGCCGCCTCTGCAGCAGCCCGTACTCCTGCAGCAGGGTCCCCAGCACGGCCCACTTGCCCTCCAGCTGGTTCCCGAACTCCATGGCCGTCTTCTCGCAGTCCGCCAGCTTCTTCTCGGCCGTCCCCGTCCGCCCTTCTAGCGAAAGCAGGCGGGCCAGGCAGGAGTCCACCTTCTTCTCCAAGGCCTGGATGGCGGCCACCACCGTCCACAGTGTGATCTCCGTGGAGTACAGGTAGGAGTTCTTCTCAGCAGCTGGTGGGGGTGACAAAGAAGGTGTCGAAGGGCTTTCGTCCTCTGTCTGCTTGTCCCTCTCTGGAGCCTGTCCACAAGAAGAAAAAGTGGAGATGGTATCAGAATGACACCATCAAAATGCGTACTTCACAAAGCCTCACAGTGACCCCTGCCCAGGGAAAGCCCCAGCCAGGATCCTACGGGCCAGTCAGGCAGGTGTGGGAGGGAGGCAGGGACATCAGTGAGGGACAGGCAACACTGGCTGGACCAAGGAATTAGCAAGTGGAAAACGGGAGGAAACACATGGCCAAAGACAGAAAGCATCTGCGGTTCTCAGGTGGCTTCCATCTTGGATCTTAGTCTCCTCCTCCTCTGCAAATGAAGGGACAGGCTTGGAAGCACAGAGAACATGAGATCTGCTGCCAGAGAGCCCAGGTCCAAGCAGCAACCCCGCCACTCCCAAGCTGGCTGACTTTGGGCAAGGTTTTTCACACAGCTTTCAACTTCACTTCCACATCTAGAAAATGGTACTCACATGGGAAGATTGTGGGAATGAATGACACAATCTTTGTTGAAAGCACAATGTCTAGCATGTGGTAAATACTCAATGCACACAAGCCCATGTTGATTCAGCTAAGATGATAATGATAAGGATGTTGACGATGCTGCTGCTGATGGTTCAGGCTCAGGGACGCAGCAAGAAGCAGTTCCCATGGGCTTTTTTTCTCCACCTTTTTCATTCCATTGTCCTTTGGCACCTTGGAAAGAGCTTCTAGAGTGCCTCAACTCACCCTGGTGCCTGATGCATGAGCCGGAGCATGTGCAACAGCCCAGTCCCAGTACCTCGTGCTAAAAGCCTTGCTGGGGGGCGCCTGGGTGGCTCAGTTGGTTAAGCGTCTGCTTTGGCTCAGGTCATGATCCCAGAGTCCCGGGATCAAGCCCCGTGTCAGACTCCCTACTCAGCTGGGAGTCTGCTTCTCCCTCTCCTCCCTGCTTGTGCTCTTTCTTGCTATTTGTCTCTCTCTCTCAAATAAATAAATAAAATCTTTTTTTTTAAATTTTATTTATTTGAGAGAGAGAACGAGATAGAGAGAGCATGAGAGGGGGGAGGGTCAGAGGGAGAAGCAGACTCCCTGCTGAGCAGGGAGCCCGATGTGGGACTCGATCCCAGGACTCCAGGATCATGACCTGAGCCGAAGGCAGTCGCTTAACCAACTGAGCCACCCAGGCGCCCTAAATAAAATCTTAAAAAAGAAAGAAGAAGAAAAGAATCCAGGACGATTCCATGCATCTGCCTGGGTTTTGGTTTGTTTCCCCCAGAACATAAGTTCCCCGAGGGTGTGTGTGATTCGCTGTTGTATTCCCAGCTTCTAAAAGAGTGCCTCTCTCACTGCAGATGCTCAATGAATACCTACTGAATGAATGAATGACCACACAATTAAACAACCTTCATTCAGTAACAACTACTGACCACCTGCCATTGTAAAGGTGCAATGGGGGAATGCAAAAAAAAAAATTATGTGGGGGCGCCTGGGTGGCTCAGTCGTTAAGCGTCTGCCTTCGGCTCAGGTCACGATCCCAGGGTCCTGGGATCAAGCCCCGCATCGGGCTCCCTGCTCCGCGGGAAGCCTGCTTCTCCCTCTCCCACTCCCCCTGCTTGTGTTCCCTCTCTTGCTGTGTCTCTGTCAAATAAATAAAATCTTAAAAAAAAAAAAATTATGTGGTTCTTCCTTCTCCAGGAGAAAAATTCTGTATAGAAAGAGTTGGGGGCAAACCCGTCCTGTTTGACTCTCGGGTACTGTAAGATGGTAGAGGGAAAGGAGTGAGCAGATAGAAATGGTCAGAAAAAGTTCTGAGGGAGTGGCTCCGGGTTCGGTGGGAGCTGGTGATGTCACCACCACAGTTACAGAGATGTCGTCTTGGAGGGTATTCCCGGGGGGACAGGGCCACAAACCACAGTATTCCCACCCCTTTTCTCTCCCTTGCACTCAGGGACTCCTAAGGGAAGGACCAAACTCATTAATGAAAGAAGAGGGAGGGGAAGCTCCTACTTTAAAAGGATCCACAAAAATCAAGGTTTCAAAAACTTCACTAAGTGGCGCCTGGGTGGCTCAGTTGGTTAAGCGACTGCCTTCAGCTCAGGTCATGATCCTGGAGTCCCGGTATCCAGTCCGGCATCGGGCTCCCTGCTCAGCAGGGCGTCTGCTTCTCCCTCTGACCCTCTTCCGTCTTGTGCTGTCTCTCATTCTCTCTTTCTCAAATAAATAAAAATAAAATCTTTAAAAAAAAAAAAACTTCACTAAGAGGTATTAATAATAGTAGAAGCCACTTACTGCATTCTGTTTGCAAGAGATTTTCTGGTGTGTCAAAAATAGCCAGAGGATTCTTTTCTCCGAATTGGGCACACTGCACATTACCGACCAACATTCCAAAGTAATCCAAATAATCTAATTCAACATGCTAAACTAATCTTTAAAAAAAAAAAAAAATCTACCTACCATCCCTCTCATAAACAGCATTCCATACCTTTCTCTTAGGTAAAAGTAGAACCCTGGGTACCTTCATGGGGGTGGAATTCCAAAATTCTGGCCTAGACGTCGGACTACGGCCTCGACTAGGTGAGTGACCTTGGGCCGGTCCCTTCCCTGAGCCTCAGACTCGGGTTGTCAGAACCGCACGGGGCTGGGCGACCCTGTCCTCCCTGCTTGCCACCAACCAGACAATGGACGGGAGGAAACAGCCACTCCGTTTCAATGCAAGGCCTGTCATCTGAAGTGTTGCTAGGAAGCCCGGCCTGTCCCCCGCCGTCGGGGCCGCCCCGCCGC